CTGATTGCCATTGCCACTCCACTCCTCTGCTATACCACCACTACTACCACTACTACCACCACTACCACATGGGCTACTACGACGACGACGACGACGACTACTACTACTACTACTACTATTGCTACTACTGCTACTACTACTACTACGACGACGACGACTACTACTACTACTCCTACTCCTACTCCTACTGCTACTGCCACTGCTCCTGCCCCTGCTCCTGCTCCTGCTACTGCTGCTGCTACTGCTGCTGCTGTTTTTGTGCCGTCATGATCAAGCACAATCCTGTCATTTCCTGTCCGTAGCGCTTACGAAAGCTATTGAAATAGATAGTCTTGTTCTTTTGTGTTCCTACCGCTTCAGTGATCCAGCCGAGCAACGTGTTTCTGCGACCTGGACTGCACCGATCTAGTAGGCGGCTCTGATCGGCTTGACCGACAGACTGTCATCGATGACAGCAAGTAGAAGAAAACCTAGTGCGCCGCGACATGATTCCCATGAGCTGTGGCTTGCTGTACTTGGTGGCCAGTTCCAACGGGTGGCGCCAGACGGCCCATGTTGCAACCAGGACGCGGTCTATGACGTGCAAAGAAAAGAACTTCGGGCATCCTAGACTCATGAAGCCCTCCCGGGGCCTTGTCCGGCAAGATGATCATGGCGAAAAGTTCTATGCGGTTACTTTGGTAGATATGACAGACGGAGAGAGAGAGCGTGTGCTGACAATGGCATGGTGAACTTGGACCAGGGTTCACCAGCACTTAATCTGTGACACTGTAGAGACAATACGGCTTGTTACTGTTGTTGTTTTTGCGGGTGTTTGTTCATGCCTTTCAGATGTTCCTTGTTGACAAGCTTCCCGTCGGCTAAGAACTCGCAGTGTGTGTTGCCGACGTCTCGCGCGGCTTTTGGTTCTGAGAGTACGTCTCCTTTGGAGCAGATGGCCAAGTCCGTTCTGATCTCCAACATGGCAAGTCTATCGCAGCAGAGACCAAACGCTGTAGGTTGTAGAGGAGCCTGCAGATGCAGACTTGCGTCATTTCTGGTCTGCCTTGAACCAACTTCGACGCAGGTGGACCCTCGCATCCTCGCTACACTGCTCGTGTCACAGCTTGGACTGGGAAAGCCTCGCCGAGTGACTGGCACCCACCCAGACTCAAGAGCCCCGCCAAACCTAAGCGAGCCAGTCGTTCGTGCTTTAGCGCGGCGGTTGCCACTTGCAACGTTTGGCTGCAAAGCGTGGCTGACGATCTGGGGCATTGCAATTTGTCACCGTCGTCGATCATGTTCGCCATGATTTGGGCTGCAACCTGGCAGACAGGATACGACCACGCCTTGCTGAGCTCTAACTGCAACGTACCTTCTTGGAGAGATTGAGATGTCGGGCTCGGGATGAGGCGGGGAATGAAGCCTGGCTCACACGGCTGCGGGCGGCTTCTGCTCAGCCTAGGGACAGAAGTGAGATTACCTTGATCCGCATGGCTCACAGCTTCGTGCTTGTTGGGCCCAACTCCAGACCTGACCCAAGGACTAGCACCAAGGAGAGCTCGCTCATTCTCTCAGTGCCAGACAATGCAAGTTAGGTCGTTAACATCGCTGATGAAGGATCATGCGATGCGTGTAGCTGCTAGTGACAATGATGCTGGACTGGCAGAGATGATGCTCATTGCTTCTTGTGGGGGTCGGGCTGATGCTTTGGTGCATCGTTCATCGGGCCATGACAGGCTTGTCGCACCCACTCCATGTCTCGTTTATAATATCTCGGCGAGAGTGTGTTCTAGGTTTGCCCTTCTGAAGTGGTTGTGCCCGACTCTCAAGCGGGTGCCGGCTTTTTGACCCCCTGAAGAAGATCGTTTCCTGCTTCTGCAGCAGAGCTGGGCCAGGCGACGTTGTGCTTTTGGCTCTCGCAGCAGACGGGCCGTTGTAGACCACAGCCAGAGCTACCACAAACAGTATTTGTCGCCTTGGCCTTTCCCGATGCCAAACACCATGCAACAGCTTCACGAAAGTATGGAGTCTTCAAGGAAGTGTGTGAGGTTGCATGGCTCTACTTGGATAGAAGTAGAAGCCCTATAAGTGGCAAGAGGTTTCCACATCCCTCAAACTTCGCTCACTTGAAACAGGGATGGCCAGCACCAAGTATAGTTTAGTGTTCAACCGAGGCTTATTTCAACCGCAATGCCTTAGGTATCTAGGAGCGACATGCATGAAGCCAGATCAACAAAGCCCAATTGATCGGACCTTCTCAGGTGGGACCGACGGTTTTCAAGCGAGAGAAGTATAACTGCCAACAGATTATAGGCTGTGCTCCTAGGGTGCGCGCAGGCATTGCAGTCATCACACAAGGCTGGATGAGCGTACACACGGCAGGGGTGTTGCCTGCCCCTATACTAGCTGTACATGAAGTCAACCTGAAACCCTGATGGCCTAAGCCCTCACGCCTGAAGCCTATTGTCAGCACCTAGACCGAAATTTCGACGCCCCGATGAACACGGTGTGGTTTAGACAGTTTAGACGGTTGGGCAAAAAGCCCATAGCCTAGGGCGGTTTTGCTGTAGCCTCGCGTATTCGACCTTGGTTGCTCCACCCTTACTCGAATTTGCACGGCTCTACCTCTCACTGTCGTGGGCCTGGGACCTTCAAGGTGCAGAAACCAACGACCCTGACCGCAATCAGGGCTTCAGTATTGGGAGGAAGATACTTAGAGTCCACTTTGTGTGTGGGGTTGTTGCACCCGTCTTCAGCCCCATTTCAATGGCAAGATGTTGCTTCTTGGGTGGTCGCCGTCCCCCGTTCCGATGGAGGCGGCCAGAAGAGCCCTTTTGAAAAAAGGAGTCCACTTTGTATCCCTTGTAGCGGTCTGATGCTAGTTCGTGATGTCACGCGACTCTTTCGGATGCAGCCACAACCGACGCGCAACCATGTTGGACGCAACATGCCTGAGACGCCAGCAAATCCTGCTTGGCAGTTGTATACAAGACCTGGGTTCTACGCAGTGGGCACCAAGGCAGCCGTCGCCTGGGAAAGCTGCACACCTGTTGCGAGTTCTGCATCGTGCAGTGCGAGCGTGTTGCATTCGACTTTGTTCGTCTCCTTCTGCGCCCACCTTCACCGAGTCCAGTTTTCTTGGCAGGAGAAGCCTCGACTGGTAACCGTCCAAGCGTGCATGTCGAAGGCATGCCGGTTTCCTTGTTTCAAAAGACAGGCGCCCCCCAGCGCTCTGCTTTGTAGTGAGGTGACACTTCGAAGGCTTCACAGCATTTTTACAAGATCTGCGTCCCAGAAGAACTAGTATTGTTTTTGTGGCAGGTACATGGCTGTAATTTCAGCACCCCTGCAGTGCTTCCAAGCCTAGTTCTGGTTGCGAAGCCCTCGATAGCAGGACTGGGGTC